TGCTTCTGAAAGGAACAGTCATGGAGGACGGCGTGCAGATGTTTTTGAGGACAGAGGGGAAGATCTGTCATGATACAACTTTCTAGAAAATTAGGAGTTCTGGTTTGCCTTACAAAAATATCATCTGGGCTTGGAGACGTTCCTGATCCAGTGGCAGATGGAAGTCAGTATTGATCCATACTCATTTGTGTTGGCTATGGGAGAAGAATCATCAGGGACTGTATATGCAGGCTGGCAGGGATGTCCTTTGGCTTGATGATCCAAGAGAGGTCAGAAGAGAAATGATTCAGCTATCCAGCTGAAGGAATTTTGGCATGCTGCTTGGGCCCAGGGATAAATACTAAATAGGTACCTTATGCCTATCTGAGAAAAATTCTTTCCAGATTCGATGTAGCGTATTCCCGTCTTGGTGTGGTGGCTGTCAGAGTCTCCAACGTACAGCTGGGCAGTTCATGCATGGAAGAACTTGTTGCCTTTGGTTTTCCCTTAGAGGCTTATAAACATTAACCACCCAGAGGCTACTGATTTAGATAAGCATGCTATAAATTGACACTGCATGTAAATGAGCTGTCGTGCTGTGTTGTGGTGATTAATGCAACTGTAATGGCACACATTATCTTTTAAAGTTATGATAACCTGGGGAAATCACTTAAAGATAACCTGTTCTCTCTGTTCTCCTCGGGAGAATATCTGCATTTTGGCTCCATGTAGCTTATCCTTACTTCTAATGCAAAAAGAGAAAATTAAAGAGAGCAAAGTGTCTACTAAGACCATATTCTAGCTGTCACTGCCTTTACTCCTGCATGTTAATTTTCTTATACAAAAAACCTGCTTTTGAATTGCCTTGAGACTGGAGGTTTTTAGTAGGCGCACTCTGGAAATCATACTGGTTTTGTTCCAAGCTCAAGATCCAGGTGTCAGTGCTGGCACTTAACTAATTGTTGCTGAACCCTTCATACTTTTGGCATGCTGGTAAGGCCCTGGCACTAACTGCTTGAGGCTTGGTTTGACTTAAATTAAGTCTTATAAGAATTTGTCTTTGTTTGGCTTTTCATTCTGAAAGTATGTACTTTTCCTTGCAGGTTTTGCTTGTGCCATAATTCAGTATTTGTCCCAGTTCTAAACAAAACAGCTGATCAATACTTAGGTTTTCTGTGATCTGTTGGTACAAGTTTCAATAATAAATGTATGGTTACATTTGCAGAAAAACTTCTTGTTTCAAATGAAATTTAAAGCAGAAAAGAAAAAGTTGTCTTTGGTTTTCTTAGTTTCCTACTTTGGTCCAAATCCTGAGATAGCTGAGATTTTTTTGACTGTGAAGCATTAACCAAATATGCTTGAGTAAGTATTGTAGAATCCTACATGCTTGGATCCAAGGTACATTTCCCCCTTTTTACTTGGGAATCCTTTGAGCTGTCTACCCTCTTTTGCCCTGTGCTCTACCAGAGGAACAGTTCTGTCTTGCTGATTCTGACTGCTCTTCCTGCTCTTTTGTATCAGTGATAGCAGAAGGACGAGCTCAGGAATCCTTGAAGAAAGACAAACTGTAACATGTGTATTCCTGGAATAGTTATTTGACCTCTCATGAGACTAGAAATGTCTTTTCATGGAGGGGCTCTTGAGAGAAGTGAATGAGTCGGGGAAGAGGATGGAGAAGGGAGAAAAGGAGCTTTTCCTAGTGATTGGTGGCAGTCACTTGGCAGGTGTGGATACAGGGCAAGTGGGGTTCAGCATCCATCAGCTCGGGCTGCAGCAAGTGCTGTATCTCTTCACGCTGAAAACCATGCGGCTTGAAAACACGAGATTTACATACAGAGTGGGGGCTTCTGTGAAAGCCTGTGGTGCTGTAAGTGCAGTGGCACACACCCTCTTGTGGCGGAAGGGAAAAGTCCCAGCACAAACCAGCGTGGCGTCTTTTATTTTCTGTGCTCACTGGTTTGCTTTTCCTACTCTTCTTTTGTCTTTCCCTTGAGTTCAGTGAACATCCTTAACGTGCTGTCCTGCACTTTTCTGTTTCATCTTTCTGTTTATGCAGCACCCGAATCTGCTCTGTTTGTCTTGCAAATTCTAATATTTCACTCTATTTCAGTCTGGTTTTATCAGTATTTAAACTGACTTTAAAGTGCCTTTTCTTACTAAATTGCCAACGTATTGAAAATATGCCTTACAGACTAACTTTAAAGCATATGCAGGAGCAAAAGGCTGGAAAAATAAATAATGACATTCAAGAGCATACTAGTTTTGTTTTCTAAATAGCTTAGTTTGTCTGAACTATTGTGAAGGGGTCATGTATAGATTAGGAGATAACAGGCTGCTTTTCCCAGCTGTTTGATTAACCAGCTTAGAGATGGGTCAAATGCGCAGGAGCAGAGTGCAAGGGAGGCACATCATCACCTTCCAAGTGCAGGAAGGGCCCTACAGCATGTTTGCAGTTTATCAGATTTGCTGCATAATAAGCTGTACGCTCCATTCAGCACTCTAATTAACCCAGGAAAGCACTCTGCTTCAGTCTTTGCTGATAGCATGAACCTCACAAAGCCAAGCAGTCTCACCAAAGTACCTCTAAATAAGATTAAGCAAAGCGAACCAACCATGAAATAAAATGTAGGCTAAGTGTCGAGCAAATACTATTATTTGCTTTCATTTAGTACCAAGTACTGTACTTGGCATGAGATGTCCAGGCATTTAATGTGTGAGTAGCACTGGCAGCTCTTAACAAGTGCTGACAGATGAGACCTTAATCATTCATATTTTCTCTCTGCAAAGAAAAGTAACCAAGTGTTGTATGAAAACACCTGTAAATGCACGTTGATGGTATTTCCCACAACTCCTAAACAGCCCATTGGTACTCAGCAGAGTTGGGAATCACATCTTGGTGGGCCCCTAGAGTGTGGTGACAGACCAGCTAACACTGGGATATCAGTGGAAAGAAGAAAAGCCAAGATTGTGGTGGTAGGTTTGTAAAAGGACAGATTCCTCAGCCCTGTTCTGAACTTTGTTAGAGTGGGTACAGACATACACAGCCCTCAAATCTAATGCCTGTTTGAAGAACAGTTCTCATCCGTCTTTCTTTCACTTTTCAGGTATCTTGCAATATCTTCAGAACTCTCCCACCTAGTGACAGCAATGAATTTGATCCAGAAGAAGATGAGCCCACCTTGGAGGCATCGTGGCCGCATTTACAGGTTTTTGATTATTTACCTCAGAGGAAATGCTTGTCATTGCTTAATGTATCTCATAATTTTCTCAGCTTTTTTTTTTTTAACTTCTGAATCAGACCCTGTTAGTCTGTGAGACACTAACAGTTACTAATCCTTTTCATGGCTATAATATAGTACCTACAGAGACGGGAGAGAGCTTTCTGATATTTGCAGAATGTTAAAGCTTTCTTTAAAAATTCTGTTGATGTGGTCCTGTTTTCCTTCACTGATTTAAAAATTATTTTGTTTTCCAAACTGCTCTGATGTGCAAGGGTTTTTCAACAACTTCAGCAAGAGCATCGTGGGGATGATACTGCTGGCAGTTTTGCTTTACTGAGGGTAGATTATATTTATACAAAAGTGCACAGATTTTGGCAGCTGCTCAGAAAAATGAATGATAAGCTACATCCCTAAGTCCTTCTTCCTTTCCTTCAGTCAAGGTTTGTTTTGAGGTATTTGTAGCAGGGTGCTCACTGCTGAGTGTTATCCCTTCCTCTGTGTTTCAGTTGTCAAAACAAGGTATTTTGAGATCCCCACCTGGAGCAGTGTGTCCAGTTCTGGGGCCCTCAACACAAGAAAGTTGTGGACCTGTTAGAGCGGGTCCAGAGGAGGGCACAAAGATGATCAGAGGGCTGGAGCACCTGTCCTACAAACACAGGCTGAGGGAGCTGAGATTGTTCAGTCTGGTGAAGAGAAGGCTCTGCAGAAACCTCATTGTGGCCTTCCTGTACCTGAAAGGGCACTTATAAAAAGGAGGGATAGTGACTTTTTACATAGGCAGATAGTGCAAGGGGGAATGGTTTTTGTACTAAAAGAGGAGAGATTTAGATTACATTTTAGGAGGAAATTCCTCACTCAGAATGCACTGGCACAGGCTGCCCCGGCAAGCTGTGGATTCCCCATCCTTGGAGATGTTCAGGGCCAGTTTGGATGGGGTTTGGAACAACCTGGTCTAGTGGAAGGTGTCTTCAACCCATGGAAGGTGGTTGAAGTGAGATGATATTTAAGGTCCCTTCCAACCCAAACCATCCCGTGATTCCATGATTTTGAACCAGGAACATAAACTAAGTTTGGAGAAAGCATCATTGATATTAAGGCAGTAATTTCCTTTATTGAAAACACAGATGCAGATCCTTTGTGTGTTAGTCAGGACAATGACTTGCAGTACTAGTAAACTGAGAAGTTTGACTGAGTAACATCAGTTTGTGGAGCCTGGGAGTTTCTGTGAGCACAATTGATCTCAGCCTGAAACGAGGATTGTATTTTACAGTTGCGTGCACAATCCTTGCCTGTGAGCTGTTTGTTTCGCTCTTTTGTGCTCTCTCATTTAGAGTCTGTGGAAATGTAGGTTCATCCCTCATTTATATTTAAATTTCACAAAAAATACGAATCTTAAAAGCTTTGAGGCAGCTCTGAAGAGCTCTGCTCTGCCTGCCTGGAAACAGCACAGGCATACGTGTCTGTTACCTTGTGTTAAGTGACACTAGTGCTGTAGTTTTAAAAGTCATTACTTACGTGGAAATGATGGAATTTCTTATCCACCCGATGACTTGCCATTGTCAGGAAGAAATTCACCAAAGTATTTGTGAGGAGTCGATGGAATTGATTTCCTGATGATTCAATGTTAGTTATGTAAGCTGTCACTTTTTCCATGTCTTATTTCTGAACCTCTCTCCCCCTTTTTGATTTCCTATTGCTTCCTTGGAGAAGGCAGAGAACACTGACATAAAGTAGCAGCAGCAGCAGTTTTGCAGCATATTGTTGTCATGGAAAAGTTTAAAACTGTTTAAAAATGTAATTTTTAAGCTTCCTTTCTCCTTCCAGTATCGATACTCAGACTCACTGAAGGCAGAAATGAGCAAGTTTTCAATGGCTGCTCTTTATGAAAAGGTTCAGCAAAGAGATTTGCTGGCTGGTAGCTCATTATCAGTGACAGATCAGAGTTGCTGTCTTATGAGGCCACAGCAGTCTCTGTTTCACTTCACTTCCTTGTTGCCTGTTTTTTATACTCTTCTTTTTCTCCACTAAATGAAAAGTCTGTTGCTGTCCCACTGAATAGTTTAGGTAGAGATGGAATTGCATGAAAATAAGCAGATTTTCTCCAACCCCGAGGCTAATCTTGACTGTAAGTTAGGAACTTCTGAATAAATTCTGGTTTGTATTCTTCTTCTGTGTGTCAAGTTGTAGTAGAACACTACTCTAAGCAGTTTCTAATTTAATTTAAATATTTCCAACTGTTTCACCAACCCTTTCAGAATTGTAATGTCTGTATTTGACGTGACTTCAGCAGTTCAGAGGGCAGTTTAAATGTGCTTTCCAATTACTTAAGGAAGCTTTACAAGATGATAACAGGCATTACAAGATGGCAGTGCCTGTTCTTGGTCATGAAATGTCTTTGACTGGAGTTAAATAAGCAAAAGCAGCTTAAAAAGCTCGTGTAATTAATTCTAACTAAGAGGTAGCAGTTGGATAAAGGAGGAAAATAGTTTTCATTTTTTAAACCTTTGCTCTGTGGAAAAATAAGTGCTTAATTTTTTAACAAAATTTAGGGAAATACTAAAATATGAAGATTAATCAAGTCATAAATTAACCACATTTTTTTTTTCTTTTGCAGCTTGTATATGAGTTTTTCATACGATTTTTGGAAAGCCAAGAATTTCAGCCCAGCATTGCCAAAAAGTACATAGATCAGAAATTTGTATTGCAGGTAAGCTGATGTGTTTTCTTTGAGGCTTCACGTTGCTTTTGAAAGAAAATTCCTTTAAAAAGGTGTTGTTTAGAATTCGAAAGTGTAAGTTTATTTGCAAAAGAAAAAGGCTATACCAGCATATACAATGGAAGCTTTCAGTCTATGGAGGTGGTGGAAATACGTGTATGTGTTTATATGTCAGTCTCTGCTGCTATAGGTGCATGAAATAGATGGTTTGGATCCAGTTTTGATACCTCAGTCAAAATATTGGACTTGCTGCTTATAAGAGGGAGCTGAAACAGTGACTATTGAAAAATGAAAGGTTTACCATCAAGTCTCAAAGTCCTGCTATCTAGAGAGTCTACTTAAATGCCAGTTTTAATGTGTCTTAATATTGTTAACATGTTTCTGTTGGAAGCAGAGAACATTTCTCCCGTCTCTCTGCAGGAAGGGGCAGAAGTTCATTAGCAAAGCTATTTCCAGCATGGTACTGAAACAGTGAGACTGTAGTGTTTGGGGAGGAAGTAAACCAAAAGGCTGTATAAAGCTTGAGGTCTATTAAAAGCGTGGAAGGAGAAGCAGCATCAATAATAAACAACATGGGCAAAGAAGAGGTAGCTTTATTTTTGTAGTTTGCTTGCCATTGCTGTGGCTAAAGGGAAGAGATGACTTTCAGCTGCTACCCAGGTATTTTACACGTGTTCAATCTTCCTTGATTTCTCATGTGCTTTGTTACTTCACTGGAACTACAGTAGCTGGTCCCCTCTGCTGAGAAGTTTTTGTCCAGGCCTTGACAAACACCAGAACAGAGGTGGTTGAAGGAGGTTGTTTTCTAGTATAAGCCAGGATGCTCCACAGATACAACTGTTGTCTTCGGCTCTTGGGGATAGGCCTGTCTTGGGTTTTCTGTTCCCATGGTGAATTTTTTGTATAACCACAAAGTCAGAAAGAACTACGTGTTTGATGCTGCCTATAGCTTGCTTTTGAAATCAAGGAAATTTAGAAGGATTCCTACTTACTTAGAAAAGAGAGTTTCCTTGCAGGCTGACACTTGAATAAGAAACAAATTAGGAGTGATACTCAGCATTTCTGAAGACCTTTCTCTCACCCCTTATCATGGAGCTTTTAGTTTTTTCCCTATAGTGCTCAGGAAATACAAGTTGTGTTTTTACTGTTCATGTTTGTTGTTTGTATGAAGAATACCTGGAAAATGTACTTAAGAGAGCAGTTTCTGTCCTTATGCTCAAAGATTCAGAGAAGGGACTTCAGTTTCCTTCTTAGTACCACAAGACCTTTTTCACCCTACAAAAGCAGTAGGATATATGGTTTTATTGTATCCATCTTCTAAAAACAAGAGCATTCTTCATCTGGATCAAACCTCTTGTGGTTTGCTTTTTGTTCACCTCAATACTGATTTGAACAGGGAGGTGCAGCAATCTGATCATCCAGCACCTGGTGGAGATGTAAGAAGATGCATGATAATCACTCTCTACAGGTTTTTCCAGGCTGATTTTAATTTCTTTAGATATAGCAGGATTGCATTGGAATGAATACATGTGCACATGTTCAAAATCTGGTGAAAATAACTCTTAGATGCTCCTATTATGTGCTGCTTAGCTTGGTCATGAGTGGCAACATCCCACTCATGCCCTTTCAAGACATTCAATCCTGGCACAGTTTGGCACAGGAGAATGGGTCTACAACAATGATTTTTTTATTTTTATTTTTAAATCCCGCTAATCTTTATCAAGTCTACTAAATGAAAGAATGGTATCTACTGAAACAGAGGAATATGAGATTTTAAAAACTCTGTACCAGAAAATGTCTGATGTGGCAATAGGTCAGAAGAATTCTGAGGATTCACGTTCTTGACACGTGGTTCGGTGATGCACATTTATAAATTGCTGTGTACAGTGTGCCAATTTAAAATCCACATTTTCCTATAAAAAGTTCTATTGAGCCATATATATTATAAGCAAGGAGTTATATTTCCACGTGTGTAAATGTTTGTGTTTAGCCTGTAGGAACTGGGCTGTCCTTCTACTTTCTGTTATTCTTGTTGTGTGTCTGGAGCAACTCCTGAGAATCTGTGACCATAGATCATTTACATGGGAAAGTGATTTGAGACTAAAGGTTCATTAAGCACGTTTGGTGTTTCATGACACTGACAACACAAGTGTAACAGTCTTTGAAATCAGCTTTCTCTCAAAATTAATTTTTTTTTTAATTTTATGAACTTTACTGAGGTGTTTCTTGGCAGTAAGAATGACTGTATGAAAAAATGATACATTTTAATGCACTTCTTCCCAGGCTTTTTCTTGTTGGCTTGATTTTTGCCTTTGGTTTTTTAAATATGTCCGTGTTTCTGGCTTTCAGCTGTATGTTTTAATAAAATGCTGTATGTACCAGTGTAACTGTTCAGTTCTCAAGCCTGCTTATATACAGTCTGAAATGGTTGGCAGTGGTTGCTAAGAGACATACTATTCAAATATATCCACGAGTCTCTGTGTTATGTAGGTTGCTATTTTGGAAAATTTATTTCCCTTTTCTTTGTATGTTTAGAATAGTCACATAAATTATGGAAGTCTTGCAGCTTGTCCATAAAAATAAGACTTTATTGTTGAAAACTGATAACAAATTGGACAGAGCAAAATAACAGTCTTATTTATTTTTTTTTAAATGAGAGGCTGAGCCTTAGTTTAGCAGTGTTTCCAGAGAGGATCTGTATAAGAAACTGGAAATACAAATACTTTGCAATCCATTAAGAAGATGAAACACGTAAGTGTTTCCAGCTGTTTGCTGTCTTAGGGTGAAATGTGCTATTTGGGGAAGGATGAGGTGACTATTTATTTATTTAACTGTAGAACTAATTGAACAAAGCAATGTGTTTATAACCTCTGGAGGGCAGATGACAAACCTCATAGTTTCCTCATGAAATCCCCACCACAGATTCTTACTGCAAAGAAAACACAGTGAGATCTCATTACAAGCTGCAGAAACATCCAAAACAATGAAGAAGAGTACGTGCATCAGTCCTAGACCTGCATGTTAGAAGTCAAAAATCCCAGACAGCTTAATAACTTTTAATCATATTTTTCTGCCTTTTTTCTTTCTCACTTCCTCAAAGTTATATAGCAATTTAGCAGAGATGTATGTAGCATACATACACTGACAGATCTACTTGTAATAGGTATTTATAATTTATCTGTTTGTGAATCTCAGATAATTTTGCTTTCTGCCATTCCTGTAATAATTTTCTGACAGCATCTAATACATTTGTAAGACCTCTTTGGAAACTGTCTTCGTTTCTTTTGCAAGACAGGTGATGGTTGACAGTTACTTTCTTTTTCATGCAAGAAAGATACTGGTTGCTTATGATTACTATCTAAAATTCCCTGTTTTATATGGTGGTGGTTTTTATTTGGTGGTGGTGGTGGTTTTTTGTTTTTAAGTAAAGTTTACCTTCTCATTTTTTTTTTTCAAATTTCCGCCAGAATAGCCAGTGTTGTGGGGTCAAAAAATGAAGAAAGTGGCTAAGGGACGCTCATACTTTTGTGGTATAAGCATCAAGGGGAATAAAACAAAGATCTGCAGGTGCTATTCCTGCTGCTCATTTCATGTCTTAATTCTTAGAGACAACTTCAGGTGTCAGTGTTTTGGGATATATTTTGTGCAAGACAAGACACTGGAATATGTTTTCTTTTGACTGAGTCTCACATAATCATTTTGCTGTTCTAAAATCTTATTTAAGAGCTACTTAATAAATGTGGGTCTTCTGTTGTTGGGTGGTTCTGTTGGTTTTTTATTTTGGTTTTGCTGGTTGTTTTGGTTTGTTTTTTTAATTGACATTGACATTAATATTAATTAATTAATTCCCCCAGCGCTTTGATTTGTGTCAATTGGTGGAGATCCTGTAACAGCAGACCCAGTGCTGGCATAGACCTTCCCTGTTGAGTCTTTCCACAGCATGAAGGCCATGCAATCACTAGGAAGGCTTAAGAGCTCATCATATAAATTACAAGCAATTAGAAAAATGTGACCTTGACACAGTGTTGTGAGAACAAGAATATTAGAGCAAATGAGGATCTTTTAGTTCTGCAGAGTGAGGGAAGGGTGGATGGTAAAAGGCAGGTTGTCTTCATTTATAGGTATTCCAGCATCTAAGAATTTACGTATTTATTTTGGGGAGAAGGAAGGAAGAAAAGCAGCATTTTGGAGCCAATTAATCAAAAATTTATTAGTCTGAGTTTTGTGATGATGTACTGGGGTTCCAACAGATTCTTTTAGTACTGTATATCTACACCTTGGCTACCACGGATGTCACATTTTGCATGCATGTGCTTTCATGAATTTACTTTTATATAGAAGTCTGTGTGTCACACTTGTCAAATGTCCCCTGTTTGAGTTCTCTTTTTCCTTTGAACGCAGCTGTTGGAGCTGTTTGACAGCGAAGACCCTCGAGAACGAGACTACCTAAAAACAGTCTTGCACAGAATTTATGGCAAGTTTCTGGGTCTTAGAGCATTTATCCGAAAACAGATTAATAATATTTTTCTACGGTAAGTTGTGGAAGAAGGTACTTTTCTCTCGTGAACACTTTAGGAAACTGATATATCGCTTATATTTAACTTTTCTTTTTTTAGATTTGTTTATGAAACTGAACACTTCAATGGCGTAGCTGAACTGTTGGAAATTTTAGGAAGGTAAACGAGTCTTTATTTATTATCTGTCTCAGACTTCCCTTCTGGACACGTCAGAATAGTGTCAGATTTGGAAAAAGTGTTATGATAAGCCCTGATTCTGAAAACAGATGTGTGCACATGCTCATCTTTAAGCCCACATGCAAACCTCTGTCACATTTTTGCCAAGAATATAAACTAGATGCAAGTTACAGCCAAGTGTTGGATTGATTTTTACATGTGTATGTGCATTACATTTTGTGCACTTCACCCTTACGTGATGTAGAATTACTTTTTTTTTTTTAGGCACACTAGCAGTGTGAATGTTTCGAGTTAATCTAATTTTGGTAGGTTAATTACTCAAGACCACCTTGCTTACATGAATTTACAGACCACATAGACAAGGTCTTATCTGTTTGGCAACAGGTTTGTTCAGCTGTTTATGTGATTATTCCTAAGTTGGAGCTGAATTGCTACCTAAACATCTTGTGCCCTGCTAATATAAAGCAGGACCAAAGTCAGCACCTGTTTACAAATGGCATGAGCCTGCTATTCGTAAACAGGTGCCTACTGCTAAATATATTTTAATCTAGAAAGTGCTTGTTTGGACCTCCATATTGTTTTCTTTGATAATTGACACTAACAAATATTTCTTTTCTGATTTCTAGTATTATCAATGGTTTTGCTTTACCTCTGAAGGCAGAGCATAAACAGTTTCTGGTGAAGGTGCTGATCCCTTTACACACTGTCAGGAGTTTATCACTCTTCCATGCACAGGTAGACATTATAAAAATATTTTCTCTTCAGAGTTATATTTTTTTAGGTTTGCTTTGGAAATTTAATTATGTAGCACATAAAAGGTGGGGGGAAAGTTCTGAAATGTGGAAAAAATACAATAGATTTTTTTAAAAAATTCATTTGATGTGCTCTGTCTGATAGGTATCTTGCTTCTGTTCTGATTAGGTACTTAAAATTGTTAACATACAACTGTAATAGTTTGGAGATTTTACTTAGTAGTTAAGCAGTCTCTGTAGGTTTTTCTGCTGTTTTCTCATTCTCACAAGTTTGCCTTTCCTATTCTCTCTCCCAAGAGGATGTTTGGGTTTCCTTAGTCTGGTGCTGTCAAGGCTCTTCTTCACCCTGGCAACTTTCTGAATAATAATACCCACGTTTTTGCATGATCTTCAGCATTCTCCCTCACAGATTTCTTAATACTGCATTTATGCTCTCAGACATCTTTTTATACCTTCATAACATTATTTTTCCTCTGATAAGTGCTGCCTGTTGCCTTTCTGTCTGACTTTCAGATAGTGCAGTATTTCTTATGCTGATAAAGCTGTGCTTTCTAAATATGTTATTCCAGGGTTTAGGTGTTGGCTCATCTTTCAAGAGTTCTCATGATTCTGCTGGTGTATAAAATGTGTAAAAAGACACAGTTTGAGAGAGTAACAGAAGTTTCAAAACATTGGTTGTATGACTGTATTTAGAATTGCAAGTTGCTCTGATTTTAATTGTATGTGTTACTTTGTCTCTCTGGCTGTTTTTGTGAAGTGTCCCGTTGTTTCTTACGAACTGAGCTTTCAGAGCACTTGCACAGTGCAAACTGTGCATCTCAGTTTGCAGTCGGATGCGGTTTGAGAAAGCTGAATAGCACCTTGCCTCGAGGGTCTCTTTTTTTAAAAATTGGGTCCTTGTGGTTTCTTTATACAAATGTTCTGACTTAATTCTCCTTAATTCTTACCTCTTCACAGCTGGCGTATTGCATAGTACAGTTTCTGGAGAAAGACCCCTCGCTCACAGAACCGGTAAATATTTCTTTCCTACTTTTTTTTTTTTTTTTGCCTCGTAAATGGTTTTTCCCTGTTGAGAGAAAAATAAAAAAATCTGACTTTTTTTCCCCTTCTAATTTAGGTCATTAGAGGTTTAATGAAATTCTGGCCAAAAACCTGCAGTCAGAAAGAGGTAAGCGGTGTGCTAGTATAATAAAATAAAAGAATTATTTTGCTCTAAAATATAATAAGCAGGGAATCTTTAAATATTTCCTGGTAGTGAGCACGTGCTGTGGTGAATCTTGGTATTTTTTCTTGGAGATGATTTTTCTCTACTTGGATTCTGCCTTTTTGGACAATTTCAACTATGAAGAGAAAAGTTTGATAACCATGGTTTCTATTCACAAAATTAGCACTGGTACTTCTGAAGAGAACTGTTATGGTATTTTTTTTTTAGAGAGGAGAAAATAAACATAGTTGGGGATAGGTTGAAAAACTCTGGTAGACTTGGAATTGTTTGTATGTGAGGGTAGTATTTTTCCTGGGAGGATGAAAGATATTCTACTGTCTAGTGTTTATCTGCTATACATGTAAATGATGCAGTTAGGCCTTTGCATTTTTTGTTTCAAATTCTTGATGCAAATTTGAGTTTCCCTAATGAGGTTTTGTGAAAAAGCAAACCCATAATTCTACCTTATTTTTAGAAGCAATATTCAAAATAAAGAGACTCTCCTTAGTTAGCAAAGTTTAAGCTTTGGTCAAATTCTTTGTATGAGGCAAAGTTTTGAGAATTGAACCAGTATTCCATGCTAATTTTACTGTAAAGGACAAGTCCTATATTTGAAAAGACAGCACTTGAACACACTTGTCCTTCTTTTAAGAGACTGAATCCAGAAGCTGCTAAAGGTAGAACTGATCATATTGTTGGAGAGGGTCTTGCTGAGCTTGTGAGGCTTCCATTTCTCCCTGAAGCAGTTGAATTTGAGGGTTACCAGCATTTTGCTGATCGAGATGATTTAGAGGTTTTATATTTAATGCTTTCTTCCTTGTCTTTAGGTCATGTTCCTAGGAGAGCTGGAGGAAATCTTGGATGTAATTGAACCATCACAATTTGTCAAAATCCAGGAACCGTTGTTTAAACAAATTGCCAAGTGTGTCTCTAGCCCTCATTTTCAGGTCAGTGGTAGAGGTTATTGTTTGTACAGGAATATATAGTCTCAGTTTCAAATGTAACACCCCTGCAAATGTAATTATTTTTTTATGTTATGTGGTTTTAAATACTCGCCTTCTGTGGAAGAGGATATGTTGCAGTAGAAGTTTAGTTCTGAGCTCCATGTTAGAAGTATCTGGGGTTACAGCCCAGAACTTGCTTTTCTGAGCCCCACATAAGGCCTAAAAGCTGCATCCAAGCAGAGCCCTTCTGACTGTGGGTGACAGGTCCCTGCCATATAGACCATGTAGGATGTATCTGCTCTCCATTTCTGGTGCATTATTGTTGTTTTCCGACTTACTTCCCTCTGTAACCAGGAGATGTCTGATTAGAGGTGACAGAAAATTTGTCATCACATTGCATAATGGGAAGAAGGGAAATGAATAGGATTTAGATGGAATCATACATGAAGAGGAGGTAGAGTTCATGGCCTGTGGTGTCTCCATATTAAGCCTGGTGACCTGTCCGGGCACAAAGGCAGATGTGACTTTTCAGCTCTTCCTTGGGCTGCCTTTATTTTTAGCATAATTTAGATCAGCATCCTCCCTCCTACTCCCCAGCTCCTCCCCAAGGTGATCACTGTCATTGTTACCTTCCCCACACAGAAGGTTTCTCCTCCCTTGTTCAGCCCAGCTGTGGAGCCTTTCTCTGTCTCCTTCCTCTGGTATCCCAGCCCTAGTGTCTTCCTTCCGACTGCAGCCTTCCTGACTTTGAGGGAAAGGGGAGATGGGAAGTCTCTCTGCTCTCCCTTCCCCTCCACAGCTGCAGCATTAATGCAGTGTCTGCACCTGGTCTTCAGTGAGCAGCAACATATTGCTCAGGGGGAAAGACAGTGTGGATGCTGTGGGATCAGAATTATAGGATAGAAACTTAATTCCATTAATGCTTGTTATGCTACTGATTGGAGTTGTTTAATTCCGAAACTAATGACTCCTGTTAATTTGTCTTTGTGAATTTTTTCTGTGATTTGTTTTTCCTTTGGAAAATTTCAAAATTATAGGTATCTGAATTCCTGTTAATAATTTATTCCTTTGTCTCAAAGGTGGCTGAAAGAGCGCTGTATTATTGGAATAACGAGTACATCATGAGTTTGATAGAGGAGAACTCAAATGTTATACTTCCCATCATGTTTTCCAGCCTTTATAGGATTTCTAAAGAACACTGGAATCCGTAAGTTTTTTGTCTTTACACTTTATTTTACTGTTTCTGAATGGGAGAGATCCAGACCCAAAGCTGGTCTGAGCAAGTGCAACTCTGTTAATGCCAATATAAATTAGTCTGTACTTGAGCTTGTCTCAGAGTGTTTTTAATTAACTGGTATGTGTACAAAAATCTCTACCTTACAGGATAAAAATAGACCTTCTCACAAGCTGGAAAAAAGAGAAATTAGATGTTACATTGTTATTGAAGAAAAAGTGTTGCTCATCGAGCTTTTCTCCTACACAGTTTTTTATAAACTGGTTGACTCTTAAGCCAGATTGTAAATTGTCTAGAGGAATATCACTTGGCATTAATAAAGCTTTGTGGCTGTATCATGGACTGATACCTCTGGGAGACCTCTGGAACTGGTATTTTTTAAACATCTGTGAAGCATACAGACATCAGAATATTCTTTTCGGGTTGTTTTTTCCTAAATTTATTTAAATACAGCTGTTCTCTGTTACAGTAATTGAACAGTTACTTCATATTGATATTCCGATAATTAGGCATTTTTATTTTAGACTGAATGACCTAGTAGAAAGTGTTTTAATGAAAAATACTATTACAGTTAGATGCCATGTATTCCATACTTGAGTTGAAAAGTTTTTCTAACTCAAGATGGTTACCATGTAGTAAACCCAGTATTTTTAATGAGCTTGTGCTACATTCAGGTCTCAGTTGTTTTAAGACCTTACTATACAATATTTAATCTTTTCACACATTAGTCTTTTTGCTCTGTACCTAGGCAAGCTCTCAAGTTTGTGTGCTTACCTGACAAATCTAGTGCTGCTGGAAAGCTTCTGTAATTAAGACTGGTCACAAAAAGACACTTTCCATGGCATTACCAGTCTCCAACATGCCCCTGCTCCTGCCTAAACCTTTATACTGTGCACTGGGATGCTTTTGGTAATGAGAATACTGCAGTATCCCAGTTTGCAGGTTGTTCATACCCACAGGAATTTTGTTTCTTTGACACACAAGCCAGGTAAAGATACACGTAAAATAAAGAATATAATTTAAATAATTTTTATATTTATAAGAAAATTTGCCACGTAGGCAACAAAATTAAAAGTGTATTGAAAGAAGTGAAAGAGAGACAGGGGTATGTGGGCAATGACACATAGTTTGTCTGCTGTATGGATTAGCTCCAAAGGTTCCTGGCACTTGTACTGTTGATTCACTGCCTCCTGGCTGAAGTGCTGTTTCTTAAGCAGCTCTGGGTCTGAATATGACAGCCATAGTAGTGGATCAGGAACTGTGAAAGGGAAAATGAATATGAAATGTATGAGTACAATCACTCTTGAAATGCAGCCTTGTATTTTGCATAGAGGCAGTGAACATTCAGCTTCATAGAAAAGTCATAAGGAAATATGAATCACTCTCATTTTGCGTTTGAATTCTATTCCTTCTGCCAGCATTGATGATTTGAATCCCTGAAGTTGCATTCAGAACTGCTCCACAGCATGAGGGAAGAGTCTGTAGTTATATGTAATGCTTTCTGTTGTTACCTTTTACCCTGGAGTTTTGGCTTTCTCGATTTCAGTAGTCAGTAGAGACAGGAAAGCTGATTCTCACCTTTAAATATGTTAATCAAAAGCAGTTTCACTGAAATCGAAGAATTTACATAATCATACTTGCAAGAACAGAACTGGTCACAGAAAGGCCGGGAAGAGAAGACACTTTTATTTCACGTTTGATTTCACCTGCAACTAATGGACTCCTTTCTTCTTTTTCAATTTCTCACAGGGCTATTGTGGCTTTAGTCTACAATGTGTTGAAGGCATTTATGGAAATGAACAGCACCATGTTTGACGAGCTGACAGCCACTTACAAGTCAGATCGTCAGCGGTAACTTTTTAAAGCTTTTTTTTTGTCAGCTGTGCATAAGGCCTGCTGTTTAGTTTTTCCCTTACACTCAGGTGCAGTTGCATAATCTCACACATGGTAGGCACAGTACCTCATTTTTCCCCTTGCCTGCCCACTAGCCTTCTCCTTGCAAGGTGTAAGATTAGGTGTACAGGTTGCTCTTTACCCTTTATTAAATACAGTATCCATTGCATTGCTCAGGAATCCACATTGTTCAAGCAATTCCTTTTGACTCCCCGTTCCAGGAGACTGAAGCATATCAAGGTCTTCAATAGTAAAAAAAAAAGAGTTTAAGGATGAAGACTTCACAAAAAAAAGTTACACTGAGCTTTGGAAAGAGACACAAGGGAAACCCCTAAGATTTGTTTTCCAAACTGCTGTTTGTAGGCTGGATGTGGTCTTAAAGCAGAGAGGCATCTCTCAGCCCTTTCATTTCTTATTCAGAGGTCTTGCTCTGTATCTGAGTCTTTCAGCATGCAGGATCCATTAAGTACACCACTCACAGAATCGTTAGTTCTACCCCAGTAGCTTTTTGTCTTTTGTTTTCTTTAATCTTCATTTTCCAATTACAGTGCGGCATCTTTTCTCAAAAGTTTTGCCTCATGCAAAGTGTCAGGTGAAAAAAATGAGGAAGTTTCGGGAACTCTGAACAATTTGCAACTTCATTTAAGTCACACCTTGTCTGTGACTCAGGGTTTCCCCCGAAGCAAAGCAAAGGGCACTGCATGTCAGCAGACCTTGTTAGTACAGTCTGGAAAGTCTCTTGGAGGCTGTTTTTTGGCTTGTGTGACTCCAGTCACACTGGCCTTTTGTTTTGCTTTGTTTGAATTTTATACACAAAAAATCGTTCATTAATATGGTGTTTTACCACAGTTCACTAATACAGTATGGCAGTGGTAAAAATAGTCCATTAATGTGGTATTTTACTTTTAGAGACTTGGAGATATATTTGAGTGAAGATGCCAGATCAGTTCTTGATAGGTGCTGATAGTTAAGGTTCAATCTGCTGGTGCAGTTGAGACAACAGTGGTTTTCTTAACAAACAGGCAGAGAATTTTGGGACTGGTCATCAAATCCAGCCATTCACTGAGGGAGGTTGGTGACTTAAATCAATTTGCAGATAAGAAACTCTGCTCTTAACAGGACCAGACACTGAAGTGGAGCGTCCCATGGCTGGATAATGGGGAGGTTTATTGGCTGAACTGCACAAAGAATTTTTCTTGCCCCTGCTGACATTGTATCTCCTGTTCAGGGCTGGTGCAAAGCATTTCACCATTTCTGTTTACTGCTTATAATTTTAAAACATGCAAATACCTGAAGGTATAAACTGCTTGGATGTTTACCTTAATGTTTCCAGAAAATCTTTAGCATTTTAATAAAACCACATATCAGAAGGGTAGCTATGATACCACTTAAAACTTGAGAAATATGTTCAATATTAATGACTAGGAAAGGTCAAATAGGTAAGTTGGATGAGGTGATCATTAGGTAAGCAGGCATATATTTCATAATGATTAGAGGATAAATATTGGTAGGTAACCTGGAAATGTAAGACTATTTCACTTATTCCTGTATTTAATTTTAAATACTTTTAGTAACAACGGGCTCTTTTTTTTTTCTTTACTGTTCCTTGGGGATTTGTCTAAAAGTTGTTTGTATTTTTTTTTTTATAAGTTTAAAATACTCTTGGGAAATTAAAATTCCAAATAAATGAGCCAGATGTTGGTATTTTGACTGAATCAAGATGTGCAGAGATGTTTCTAATCCGCTGAAATATTTTTCAAGACTTCTCTAATGTGACTAGCAGAGAATCTGTGTTTCTGTCACTGTTAAGATTTCCATTTCCTCTAAACCTATAAGGTGATGTAATAGAACTTGAAAGCATTTTGTACCTTACAGTACCAAGGAGATTTATTCAAAGTAAGCTATGGCAGAGACAGGAAACTTAGAAAGCAAACAATGCAGGTAAAGTAAATGTTAGATTTGCTGTTTAATTTTGTCAAATCAACCATTGAAGTCTGTTGTTAAAGCAAATGCTACATAGATCTTGTAGGAATTTGGTGTGGAAAAAGAGTGACTCAGTGAACAAAAGGCAGATCTTTTAGCTTGAACTTCGCCTTGGCTGGTGCCTAAGCTAAATGGAAGCCACCAGTCAGTTAAGTAAGAATAGCAATTCTAAAAGAATCAGGGAAAGCTTTTTCTAGGAAGTGGCTGTTATTTTTAATATTAAAAAATGCCATGCTTACATAAACAAAGTTGAAAATAATTAAATAATTTAGTTCGTAATGTTAATTTTTATAATATTGATCCATCAGGCCCATAATAAAAGTCCACTGCATTTTTTCTTCCTCATTACAAATTAGTGTCTATGAACACTGTCACTTTGCTCAGCTTGTGTTTTATGTTCTTCTCATACTGCTTTTAGTTATATTTATGTAGGTAACAAAAAGGAAAAAAAAGAAAATATTTTTAAAAATTAAATTTCTTGGGAAAATTGCAGTTGTGTTCTTGAGAATCAGTGCAGCCAATAATGTCAAATATATATATTTTAACATAAATGTTATACAGTCTTCTCTCCTGCTAACACTTTGTTTTATTTCATCTGTCAGTGAGAAGAAGAAAGAGAAAGAACGCGAAGAACTGTGGAAAAAACTGGAGGATTTGGAATTAAAGAGAGGTCTTAGACGTGATGGAATAATTCCAACTTAACAAAAAAACAAAACAGCATTATTAACCTGTGGAGTCACACATTTATGTAGTAGAAGATGGAGCAACAGTTTTCTGTATTGTGCAACTTTACAGTAGATTTCACATTTGTTTCATTATTACAACAGCACTGTATATACCTGTCTCTAAGTAAAGGAAAAAAATAAGGACTTTAATCCAAAGTTTGGACAACAGATGGACTTCTCAGAACTTTGCAAACATAATCATTGTTTTAACCCTTCTTTAAAACCAGTCTTCAAAGATCTGTTGATGAAAATTGCAATGTCAAATTCCATTGTCAGGACCTGTTCCTTATTTATCATTAGCAGAGAGTATAATACAACTTTCAAATGTGAACAATCTTAAAATTTAGCTTGTCTTTCTGCTAAACTGTTACGTGTATTTATAGTAAAAGAGAAAAAAGACTGTCATTTCCTTATGAGTTCGTGTAACATCCTCCTTCTCTGGATAACTTTACTGTAATTTGACTTTTTTTTTCCTTTTGCACATCTTCATGAGTTGAATGTCCATTCAGATCAGGGCCATGAAAAACATTGGTCCTGAATAAAAGTTTTGTTTACTGGTGTGAGAATTTTTTTAGTACCAGGCTGTCTCTGGTGCTTCCTTAATTTGAGCATTAGGAGTTAAAAAAAAACAAGTAGGTGATAAACATAGTAGGAAAGGGAGCTTTGGATTCATGCACCTTTTTATTGCAAATCCAAATTAGTGTCCACAATCCTTGAAAAAACGGGCAGTGGTAACACCCTGAACTTCAGTACCTAACCAGTATTAGTGATGCAGCATTGGAGACACGTACCAGAGTTGGTTTAGAAACACTAATTGCTAAATTATTACAGTATGTTTTTATTGGACCATTTAGAAAGAACACACGTGCTAAACAACACAAGCATGAAGTTGATCTCCAGTGGTCACGGATCTAATTGGAAAATGAGTTGAGATAGCAGTTTGGACAGTTTGGAGTTGTTGCCTTACTTTTTAATATGTATTTATAAAGTGTTCCAGCAAAAGAGGATGTAGCCTCTAAAAAACATACTCTAGTGTTTTTGTGGTTCTAGTACTATTACTCATCACAGTACCAGCCCTGTGGTCTTAGCTGGAAAGGATTCTGGATAATACACTTCTGCATTCTCATCTGGATGCTCATTCCTAACTACTGTATTTGTTACCAAAAGTGGTTCTACAAATGCTACTGAAAAAAAAAGAATTCTGGAAATCCTAATGTTCTGAGTATTAATAATAAAGTTTAAAATGCTTTTATATCAAAGGTGCATTGTGACCAAATTGTTTAAAACAAAAGAGGAAAAAAAAAATTACAAAGAACAAAAGAAGAGGGCTGTATTATAAGTATACATTATTGGCTATCTGCTTTGTATTTGAAAGTGGAATCTTACATCTTTGGTAGGTAAAATGCTGATAAGACTTATGTACAGTATATATTTAGCTAATGCAGTTGCATTATTATATACCAGAAGGTATGTGTTTTGGGATTTTTCTCCAGGATGCTTTTGAACTGTTATAGACATATGACAACAGTGAATTGATAATCCTAAACCATCAATCCAGCAGTATTTACAGTATAAAACTGAATTGGTGTTCATGAGTCTTTGTGATAGTTGCAAACATGAATTTATGACCTGTTGCCATTGATAGAAATACAGTATAAATACAAGCTTGTATATTTTTCTTCCTACCATTTAAATATACAGTAGGATTTGAAGTTTTCTTGTTTTCAGGCACGGAAAAGAGGTAAAAAAGGATTCCCTCCTAGACTACTGACTGTTTCAGGATTATCAGGTCACAGTTTGTACTCCTGGGTCTGCGCACACAAATGTTGTAAACTCAACGTTTTGTAAGAACTTGACACTGTTAATTCTGGAAAAAAAAAAAAAAAAGTGGAACTAGTCATATGCAACACCAAACACAACATGGTTTTAATGGGATTAATATGAGCTTCTTTTAAGAACATTGACTGGGACGCAATGTAAATTAGGCAGTTACTGTCATAGTTGAAACATTTTATTTTAAAGTGCTGAAGCAAAGGTGCAAGCTGAAATACTGAAGATTAAATAAATTTATAACAAATCATGTCCCTTAGCCCATTGATTTTGACAGTCTTTTATTTCTGTTACCAAAAAAAAAAATAATATTTGCTAGTGTGACTTCTGTGTGAAATGATCATACAGTACAAAAGGGTGGACTCAAACTCATGCTCAAAGACTATGTTCCATTGTGAAAAACTGAGATAGAATGGAGGACTAAAACTTCATGTTTTTCACCTGGTGGAGTAAAACACAACAATGTGAAATTAGAAAAAGCACCTTGTCCTGTACTTAGAGTTTAGGTGAGTGTTGTTTGTTCATAACTATTTTTGGTTTCTGACATGTCATTCTGCTATTGATCATACAAGACTGACGAGAACCTGATGGGTTGCAATATTTTGTTACCTCTGATTGTTACCTCTGATGTGGGGATAGTGGGGTGTATCTAAAGTTTATAGATGACTTATCACTTCCGAGAAGGAATGTTTAACGTGGACGGGACGCTGTGATGTTATTAGTCACTTGACTCTAAAGGCTCACATGGCAGTAGGTTTGCACTGTGCGATGTACCCAAAAGAAGCACTTGCCACAATGATACGACCGTACCCCCGGGACCCACAGGCTTCTGCGGTCCCAACGCCATGTCCTGCCCTGCACAGCTCCCCCTGCTGTCACTTGGAGCTGCAGGCCGAGAAGGAGGCAGCACACGGGCCCAAGTGTGATCAGTGCGTCTGTTTAATTAACGCTTTTCGTTCGCTTCTTGAGTTCCAGAAACTACCTTTGTTTGTGTAAATGTTGTTGTTCGCTGCTCGTCCGGCAGTCGTTGGGTGGCCACTCGTGTCCTGTGCCATATTGGTTTCAGGAGGAAGGATTGGATGCTGTCTGGTCAAAGGAAAAGAGCCGCGTTTTCGACACTAGGGCATTGCATCGGGTCATGGGGATGTAACAACTGTAAAAGTAAAGTTCCTCTCATACACTTTCAATTGAGCACACGTTGCTTTCTTCATCCTGCAAGTCTCCCTTACTGTTTTCCTTTCGTTGCTTTTGAGTGTTTTTTGTCTCCCTTCCAAAGGTTGGAATGCTTTAAATAAAAGTATTCTAATGCCATTGGAGCGTTCACTAGCAGGCTTACAGTAAATTTAATCCTGATTTTGTTAGCATAAATAAAAGGATTTAATTTATTTTTTTATCTACTCTCATATATGGAAAAATCGAGGGTGTTAGAGCCAAGAATTGCTTGAGTAAGAAATGGAGCAGCTGTACTTACATTATACGTGCATAAGTACAGCCTCAGGCTATCTCACTCTGTGGAAAAGAAAATATATTAGGAGCTGTAAAAAGCTCTTTATTGTTTTGTGAGGAGCAGGAAAGACGAGATTCTTCTCCCTCCAAGTAAAACTGAAATAGTTTGCTTTTAGTTCTGTCTTGGAAAACAAAGATGCCCTTTTCTCTTAATTGTATGACAGCACCATCCCAAAGCAGTTGCCCTAAAATAAGACAAAGATGAAAATGCTCAAGATTGAAGAATGTTTTTATTTACATGTGGCTTTTTTATTTTGGCTCACATGCTTCCTTTAGCAGCTCTGGAGTGAGCCACGAATTAGTTTTTCCTAGTTGGTATGTGCAGCATATTTTATATAGCCCAGTTTTTCGTTTTGAAGTCTACAAAGCAGTATCTTGAAACAGAATGGAACTGATTTTCATTGAAAACTTTTATCCAAGTGTTGCTTCCCATCCACAGAAGCGTACGCTTTTTATCATGACCTCTCTGAATAAGAGTTTTTGTTATTTGGATCACTTAACTGTAAATATGTTGTATTCATAACCTTATGGACCCATGAGGAGTTTTCAAATATAAATAGTACCGATACATTTCTTGTTGTTGTCCTATTTTTGACTGTAGTATAGCGAATGACCTGTCATGCTTTTTGTTTCAAGGTTAGCATTAGATTCATAGATCTTAATATTTTAGCATTTCATTGTTTAAGCAGGAGAGGGCAGCAAAAGTTCATTTTTCCCCATAGGAATGCTCTGGTCCCATTACTGTTTTTAAACTTAGTTGCATTTAACTATCTGTGGGTAGGGGGGAAAAATGAAACACTTTTTATATATATTAAAAGGTGCATATGAAAATTATATAGACTGGTCCAACCAGACTGTGAAAATGTCTTCTACTCTGCATCCAAGTAACAGTAAAACAAAAATATCTTCCACCTCTGGATAAAGTACAAGCAGGTCTTAAGCTCTTGGATTCAAATGTCATTCTTTGGAAACAGTTTACTTTCTTAAAAATGGTATCAAAGAAACTCGAACTCAATGGTGCTCCCAGCTATAAATGTGTAATCTTCCTCTTTTGCACTTGCTAAAGAGGCTCTGTACTGTGGGTGCATCTAAATAAAGAAGCAATGAAGTGTTTTCCAGGTGCTTGGCTTTTTTTTATCCACCTCCTTCCATCTAAACTTCATGTAACTTTTCAGCAGTGAACTTCCAGCGCTCAGATACCCATCTGCATGTATTAAATGTATTAAAGGACACTTGTCTGGAAACAAAACCCAAACAGCGAGGTGGTAATTTAAGCTTCAGCCAGAATTACCATAGTAAACCCTTGGTTTTCATTAAGTTCATTTTTTTAAAGGTCCTCTCCTCGTGGTGAGCTGCACACAACCCCACCTGTGAGAGAGGTCAAGAGCAGAGGATGCAGAAAAAGGGCATTAGAGCCACACGTTGATCTTTAGGATCTCTTTGAGCCTTACACTTTGCAGCTGGTGAAGGAGTTTGTTCTTTTGTAGCACCATTCTCCTGTTTCAGTCCTCGTGCTGTCCTGCCTTGCAGTTTGGAGGTGAAGAGAAAAGCTTAAGATGGTCACATGCGTGGGGGAAACCCTCTGGAGAGGATCGTGGAGAGAGCCTGGTAAGGGGCAGTGCTGGTGAGCAGCTTCAGCAGCAGCACAGAACATATGGGTGCTTCCATAAGACTGGAAAAAATATTTATTAAACATCTGATCTTTAAATATCACTTTCTTGCATGAGTTATTCCAATAGTCTAATTCTTAATTCCTTCCATTTTGATTTTTTCCAAATTACATTTTCAGCAGTTGGATCTTGCTTGCCTTTGTTAGAAGAGCTCATTATCACAAATCTCTTTAAGTACTTGTAAGACAATATTTAGATCACTTAACAACCTCAAATCTCTTTACTTCCTTATTGCAAGGCAAGTATTTTCTAAAGAAGTTTTAAAAAAAGAAAAAAGATGAGAACATGCAGTAAGTTAGCCTTCAGGGTAGGATTTGTCTTCTTGCTTGGAAGCTGGAAAACAACCTTTACAAGATCAGAATTAAAAACTTAAATTAGTTTCCTACTTTCGGTAATGATAATTGCTAATTTTTCATCTTTGTCTTTGCTTCTCAGGGAAGTTTTGGTTTCTCATATACTAGCAGAGTGCCTGGTTTATCTTATGTTAGGTTTGGACCCTAGATCACAAGTCTGTAGCCTACAAAAGTAGCTTTGTGTGCAGATAAAGGGTGTTCCCAAGGCTGTATTGATTAGTGGAAACAAATACAAGGTCTTGCATTGTGAGTTTGGAGTGATCTATGGTTTTAAAGATTTTATGCTGAAGCCAAAGCAAATATCCTGAATTTGTTAGAAAATACCTTGAAAACGAGTATTCTAACCCACTGTGAGCAGTGGCCAAAGGCTTTCGTGCAAGTCTCTATCACATGAAAAATGGTCATACAGAAACTTGATTTTTCACTGTTTTTATGCCTGGTTGTTTTTGGTTTCTCCCCTGTCCATTTTGTCTATTCAGGACTATCCCCTCTTGAAATCACTGGAGGTGAGAGAAGTTAGGGGTCACTTGGGAAGGATGGAAAGCTTGCAATGCATTTAAAGAAATGTATATTTTTTTATACAATGGTTCATACCTTTGATACACACTTGAAAGGTCTGGGAACTTGTCATACCTTTGATACACAGTTGAAAGTGTCTGGGAACTTGTCTTGCATTATACCTGGGTCTGGGAAGGTCTTCTGAAAAGAGGATGAGAAAGGGATATTCTATATGCCTTCTCAATCTTGTTTCCAAAATTCTTACTTTGCACCACCAGGGACAAGTTTTTTCTTGGGTACAAAGCCTCAGTGCTTCCCTGACAGAAAAAGCAGCAACCCAGCAGTCTGTGTTCATGGAGCACTGAGGATCCTACGCCAACCTTCCAGCCACAGCAGGAGCACACTCGGGCATAACTGCCCTGACAGCAAGGAAGGAAAGACCTTGTGTTTGCATGAGGATTTTTGCAGCCCTCCAGCAGCAAAGGGCCTGAAAACCTTTTGTGAACTGAGCAGGCTCAGGTCAGTTTTGAATCGTCACCTTCTGGTGAAGCACACGTGGTTTAGCTGTGTGAGCAAACTGGACAAGTGGTCCAACTCAGTTTTAGGTTTTAATATTAATTGTGCAAAATGTACTTAGTAGGATTACGTCTTATGCTCATCAATCATCCCTAAGACCATGCAATGGCTCCCCTGCTTTTCTAGATCTTACTTTGGCTTTGTATATAATGTGCATAAGTGGAAAATCACTGTATGTTTAACTATCTCAAACCCAGATGGGCATCTGTGTTACAAAGTCTTCCAATTCAGCCATCCTGGAGGAGACAGGCTCAAGTCTGCAGTTGGCAGATCTTGGAGTAACTTGGCAAAACACACACTTGATTTCTGGAGCAAGAAAATGTGGAATTCAGACAGTGGTAATTAGTTTGTTAGTCCACAGACTATTTCACAAACACAAGGGGTTATTATTGCTCTTTGCTCTCCGTGACACTCATCAGACAGTAATTGTCACGCTTAGTGGTTACGAACATTTCGAACACCAGTTCTGGCCAGACAAAAGTGACTCTGAGGAATACAAAGGGAAGAATATTTCCTCCTGCAATGTGGTGCCCCTCACTACCCCCTTTTCTCCTGTGCTGCTGAGTGATGCACCTGCTGCACCGAGGCTCTTGCAAACACAAGTGTGAGGACTTGAAATGGGCTAAATTTAAGCAAAATGTGCTATTCTAGTCCAAATTTTCATAAGGGGAACGTAACTCTGGACCCGTGGGCATTTTAGCCTTATCCAAGCAAATGCCTTTCCATGTGGTTAGCTA